TAATTAAACATTGTCATTTTCTAGAAGTTTGGAAGATAATCTCATTAACAATATTCCAGTTGATAGTTTTAAATCATTAAAGGGGTTGCTAGCATTGTAAGTAAAGTAGTGTTTCATAAAATTAACATATATGGTATCTATGCCAAAAGTGTGTATGAATATATTGTTATATGGACGTCGGACTAGAATATCCGGTACATCGAGGATCCATATCACTAACTAATCTTAATCTTTGGTTAAGAGTTGTAATTGTTTTAGTTTACTTGAAACTAAGAGCATTGTTGAAGTAACTTGGATATCATACACCAATTATTAGACAACAGAACTTATTGAAAATATTTTCTTGCAGGTCGCTCAATCAAAATTTTCTAACGAAATTCGATGTTCAAATATTCTGTAATATGCCTCATCTTTCAAAGCTGTAGGTTTCATATTAATTTCGCATATTTTTTTACTTACTTTCAAAATAAATTGGATAATATGCTAGCAATAAATCACACCAGTTTCGGCATTGAGGACTTCTAGATAATTTTTTAAGTTATTTACTTCAAAAATTAGGTATATGCGATCAAATTTCATTGCAAATGTGAATAAAAGCGATTGTGTGGGCTTATTTAAGGCTCTGATTACTCTGTAAGTATCCAAATGATGCATATTTAAATGGAACAAACTTTAATTTTATTCAAAAAGCACCAATGATCTTTTTGTGGTTATCTTTTTCAATTCAGTAATCAAGGCGATTGTTCTTTTTAAGAGTTCGTTATACTCTTTGAGTACTATATGTTTTTTTCCTTGTGAATGAATTTTGGCTAATATAACACTTTATCGCTAAATTTTAGCATATAACTGTATTCAGCTATTAGCTTAACTTATAATCTCGAAATATTCCTAATGCATTATATGAAAACAGCTATTAAAATACTTATAAGCAATTTAGACCGTGCTATTGAAAGTAATCTGAACTATTTGAACCAACAGTATCGATATAATTTTTCCTCTTATACAGTTATAGAAGAATTTAATTTGGTATTCTTTTTTCCTAGGGATTTAAGTAATAATATGTTAACAGGTGATGTCCACGAAAGATTGCACGACGTTGATTTCTTACCCAACTTGATTGAATTGTAGGAAATTTTATTTTGATAATCATCGTATATAAAATTGAACGCTATAATGCGTTTGGTCAAAGTCCTATTGGGAAGAATAATTTTATTACTTTTCACCTACCAGGCACATAGCAAATAATAGCATTAAAAATTTTCCTCCTGGATTGGTAGCGGTAACAAAGAAAAAATTGAGAATACTGTAAGCTTATCAAATGCTCCATTTATGTACTTCCATACAGGATTTATGAACCATCTAATAATTTAATTTAATGTTTATAGATATTAAAAAATATAAGAAAAAATTTTATATTTATAATTCAACCATAACGTGATATGCACTTATCACTGTTATTTATGCTTTAGAAACATCGGATATAATAAAATTAACATATCAAAGGTGCTAGGTATGATTCGTCGCATCACTCCTGTTTATCGCAAAGAATGTGAATATATGAAATTCAGTTATTGCCAGGGATTTACCATGTAAGCTGGCTAATTTCTACAGTCTCGATATAATGTGTTTAGTTTGAATGTTACCGTAAACGATTTATAATTGCTGACATTGTCTCTCGTTAAATGTAAAATTGATGAAACTGATAGAATTTATAAAGATTACAAGATTATATTGTTGTCACAAAACAGCTTTGCAACAAGATAACGTAATGTACGATCAATAAGTCAATTCCTTGAACCACGTATCAAGGAACGATATCTGCACTATCACAAACACTTTTGCTCTACTAGCAGACTACACAAAGACTTAAACGCCTCGTATTTTACGTTAAACACTAAGTTTAAGAATCCACTTTATTTCATGATATACTGCATTTATATACTATTCCTCAATAGTTCATGAATCATAGTTAATACAATTAACATTGGAATCATTTACTGAATTAGATATTAATTATAGCTACTGCTCCCTTAATGCAGACAACAGTATTTACGAACATAGACATGTAATAATGACTAATACAGAATAGTCAGATTGCAATATGTCCTATCACGGAACATTTCCATGATAATTTACAATCTAGCATAAGTAAATTACAATCACAATGATTCGAACTGTAAGTAGATGATTTGCATTCCTTATTATAACTATTAATTTCAGTACGTGTATATGTGTCTCTGTCATAAAAAGTCAATGCTATATTAAAACACAGAATATCCAAATTAGAAGTTAACTACATAAGGATAAGCTAACAGAATTATTCTAACATAGATATTTCTACTCTAATATTGTACATAAAACTGTCACAATTGTAAACTAATCTAACTTTGCTAAGTTTTTAAGTTTTTCTGAAGTTTTTCTTCTAATAACACTAAGATTTAAAGAATAACTATGAAGTTATAGTGTTTGCAATTTTGATATATTGTAAGCTTCAAATTTACTTTTGCTTACAGAGACATAAGCGGATATAGTTCTAGCATTTTGCCTACGGGAACCTTTAATAATATTCAAGGGAAACTAAAGAAATTGTAAGATTAGCGCTTGCTAAATTTCACCAGGGCAATGCAGCTTAGCCAGATTGTTATTAATATGACAATGAAATTGATTGTGATATTAAGATAGCGATTCTTAATAAATGTTATCGAAGATTAATTGTAAATCTTTCATTGCTGATGCAGATCATTGAATGATATGAATTTAACACAGCTAGATGTCAGTAATATTTTTAACAACTCTGATGAAAATTTACTGGAATTGTGAGTCAAGAATTAATTTTAAGTCACGTTTAGTATTCAAAATAGTAATGGTGGTTACAGTTTTCCTTTTTTTGCTGGTTCTCAATAGTTTATCATTGAAAATCGTTTCTTTATTGGTATTTTCTAGATCATTGGCTAAAAATTCTCTATTGAATATTACGAGCTATCTGAATTATCAACTGCTAGGACTTCGAAATTTGTAATTATATTTATAAGTAGAGTTTATAAATGATAATGAACCAAATGGTCGTTAGTTTGAGACGCAAATTCCAGCAAGGCATTTGTATTCGGATCTAAATATCTACTTTCTCTTAATTTAGAAAATAACTGATTCACTTAAAAAAATAAAGTAGTTAGTGCATGAACTTGCTTGTATATTTATGAGATATCATATTGTTATTAATATTAATTTTGAATTGTATTCTTGAAAAAATTGATAAAGTTATCGCTAAAATTAATGGAGGACGTATATAATGTCTAAGCCTTATCTATACTCTCAATAATATATTCAAAGGAACTTAGAGAATAATAACATTGAAAATATTTGCCATGATGTCAACCATTTATATCAAATTGTACCAAATATTCGATTGCTGTAAGTTATAATCAAACATTTTATTATACGATTTCTTACCAAAACATGTCGTTATCAGCTAGAAACATGATTACAATTCAATTTTTGATTGCTTACTTACAACTAGCGTATCAAAAATTTGGTATCTAACTTCAATTCAATGCATTTACGGATAACAAAAAGTCTTTCGCACTAGTAGATTGGCTTTCCGCTTTACTTTTTTGCTTGTATACAGAATTTTTATTTGTAGAGATTGCTTAAATTCTTTGAATAAGAACTCATTTTCAAACTAATTTACCATAACGTAACAGACTAGCGAATTTAGTCGTCATATTACATAGGCATAGAAATCGCCATTTACCGAATGAGCAATTAATTCTTATTTTTTCTGTCCTTATCCCGTGCTGTGATTGTTTTAGTGTCGCACTTAGTTAAGTCCGTTACGATAACGCTACTTAATTACAAAGGATCTGAATGGATATTTATGGCCTTAAATAAGACACTCCGATTTGTTCTATTGTAGTAAGCTAGATAATAATCGAATCAAAACAATAATAAGGAATTGCCTGTTCGGATTTCGATCATTACGATACCTGTAAGTTGATAAGAAAGCACTTGTTATTTGCAATAAATGAATTATTCTTGAATATTCTGCTAGTATGAATACATTTCTTGCAAAATTTAATTCTAGCAGTTTGATACCAAGGCTTATAATTATGGTCGCCGCTTATCTAGTTGAATCCGTGTATTAACTAAATGTTTTAAAGTATCACGATGACATAAATACTACTAATTGCATTATTAACGTTACTTCTTATCTAACGTTTAGGTCTATTAGGAATAATCCGTTAACGCGAATTGCTAGTAACTCTTTCATGGACTCTGTTAATTTAAGGCAAATGTAAGCTGGCGTTCTATTATTTGGTTGTAATTTTCTCTATTACTAGAATCTATACCGGTACTGCTTTTATGATGTTGTCGAAAGTAGCAGCTTATCATAAGATATCACTGTTACATTCTTTGTTTAGGATTACGATTTTACATGCATGAATTAGTAAACATCTAGAACTACGATACTAATCTATCTGTTTAAATTGTTATTAGCTTGATATAACTACTCTCACTTAAGTTTTAAATACATAGTTTACCCCTGCAGTTTAGCAGTAGTCTTCATTGATGCTTTCAAGATATTTCGCTTACCCGATATCACGGGTAATTGCTTACTCAAGCTAAGACCTAGATTAAAACAACTACAATTAACTACCAGATGTATATGCTCGAAGAAGGCCTCGGTATTGTGATTATACCGTACTATTTAAATCACCCAATTAATTTATAGATAAATGTATGGCTTGCCACGTATTGTCAAGTATTATTATTACACAATTCTGATTGAAACGGTATTATTTGTCTTGTAAGGAAGGTCTTTAAATCTATCTGCTTAGTTGATTAAAATTTTATTTTAAATGGTCTGTATTTTAACCAATGGTCTAATAATTCCTTTTAAGATACTTGTCTAGCTACAAGATGTATTAAATATTCTAAATAGTCTGGTAAATGTGAAATTAACTCCATAAAATCTGCTTTTGCTTGTGCTAAATATCTCATAGTTATTCAACGAGGCAACACTTATGCTGTTTGGTGCCTGCAACAGTAGTATTTTGTACTCCATTTGTTGGGCGAGATCGTTTCACAACTTGTGCTGATTTATTAGGTCATACAGTTTTACAAATTTTAGTCTGGGTCATTGGTGGATTGGCATTAGTGGGAAATTCGATTGTACTTTTCATATATATATTTAAAATAAAGAAGAGAAACGAACCGGTTCCTATACTACTTATTACAAATTTAGCTGTGTCTGATCTGTTAATGGCAAGTTACACGCTAATTATAGGAAGTGCAGATTTGAGATATCGTGGTTCCTATGCCAAAAATGCTGAAAATTGGTTACAAAGCTCACCTTGTTTAATAGCAACATTTTTATGCTGTATTTCAAGCTTAATGTCTGTATTAATGATGTTGATGATTAGTATTGATCGCTATATTTATATTGCTTTCCCATATTCAACTAAAAGGATATCTGAGGATAGTGCAAAATTCATTATTGGCATACTATGGTTATGCAGCATCGCTTTTATTGGCTTGCCAGTTGCTTTTAGTATCAATGCGGAAGGCGATAGGAGGTTGCACGCATATACGAGCATTTGTATGGCTAGCAACCGCACAAATAAGTTTTTCTACGGTTGGCTATTGGCATACACTTCCTTAACTTTAATTTGTTGGCTGATTACTTGTACACTATATGGTCACATGTTGATAGTTATACGTAGAACAAGCACGGATGCAAACAATAATTCATCCAGCGATGCGGATAAAAGGATTGCTTTGAGATTATTTGCTATCGTATTAACAGATTTTATATCTTGGTGTCCTTATTATATTTACATAATTTTCATGATATCAGATGCAAATGCTTACATGCCGGTAACATTTCAATTTGCAGTAATATTGGCACTTCCGATCAATTCTGCTATTAATCCCTTTTTGTACACTTTAACTAGCCCAACGTTTACTAAGACAATCAGGAGAAAAGTACGTTATTATCGAAATAAGCATAGATTTTTTCGTTTCTTATGTGTCTGTGTATCAAAGAGTAAAAATCAAGTTAATTCTAAATGTACAAATGCTGATGGCAGTTCCCTTCAACACGGAAATACGGAGATTAAAAAAAGCACCCCATCAGACAATGAAGTAAACAGTCCTCCTAGAAGATCTTTAAGAAATTTAACGGTCTCCATAAAAATTGTAAACAAGATCCAATAAGAAGCCTTCAATATTGGCAGCGATGTACATTAGAATCGTCCATAATTACTTACAACATTGACTTCTCATAAATGATATACTATAGCCTAGCACATAACATTATTACGAGTATGTCACTGTTTTGCTACTGTTTGATAGAGCGAAATGTTTTTCGTATAATATCTCTATGTTTCCTTTGACAGTTAATTGATAATATCTTGAATAATGCATATATGTAAATAGAATACATAAGCAATGGTACATAAATATGATTCTCTAGAAAACGTTTTGCATAAATACTTCGGAAATAAAAAATTAGTTTTTTCTTTGAAAATTGTAGCAAATTCTTATTGTACAATCGTCTGATAATTTTGATGTAATCTACATTATAGTACTGGCAATTGGGGCATATACCTTAATTAACTAGTGTAAATGCTACAAGCCAGCTTTATGATAAGGTTTATATAAGAACAAATCTCAAAATTTCGAAAGTTTTCAGGATTCAGTATCTCTTAACTACGGTAAACACGGGAACTTAGACGCCTTTACTGCTATATTACAAAACCAGAGAACTGGTTCTATCCAATGATCTTCTGAGTTTAAATTCCTTTCGGCAGTTTCCAACACTGATACATCATCTCACAACAATGATTGTCCATATGGACATTTACTGACTGATTTTACGTGATCGGACTACTGTATGTCCATTCACAGAGTCATTTTAATACACCTGCAGTCTACTATTAGTCATAATTGCAGTTGCAAGAGCTTGCACTGTAATCAATCGCCTACAGTACTCTCACTGCTACTACATTAAACATATAATTTACTGTAATTACATTATAATTTCGGTAATTCTTACTGTAAGCTACTAATTGTAATCACCATATATGAACCCTAATTCGTTAAATTTAGTCATTTAATTCTTCTCGGTAATTCGTGGCGTGGCAATAATTAAGACCTAATTCTTCGTTACGTTGGGAATAGGGTTGGTACCCGTTAGAAATTGTGCACAATTGATAAATTGCAGTAGTTGCGAATTCATTACGCTTCTATTCATTAATATCTTAGATTGTCTCTAGATAGTTTCGTATGAGAGAATGTTGAAACAGGTTTGTTGCTCTCTGTGTTACAGTAAAATGCAGAGAACACATGTTAGTAACTCTGAAGATTTAGATCATATTATATCGTACGTAATGATCAATTGCGATCATTGCATAATTGATTTGTTTGGAATTTAAATCGCTAGTTAGCGTTAAGGCTGACTGTTATGAATTCGCTTTATCGTTAATAAATTTAGATGTTTTTTGCATGTTAAGAGTATCTTTGATCTAATACTATTGTCATATTACTATGGATGTAAGTTGGATGTGAATTCGTTAGTCGATTTCCATTAACGACTGTGGGGTTTTTAGACGACGATAATGAAGATGTAAGCTGATTACCATGAATATGGAGGATAAAGTTTAAGATGAAGATTGTCTTACTTTAAGTATAAAATGTTAGATTGCTAGCTTATTAATTGGGCTAAATGCCTCCGTCTAAATGTGCTAGTGCTCACTATTAATTAATACATATGCACCTTCTTATAATTGTTATAACACCAAGTCTATAAAAATGTCTGTTAATTCTTTAAAGCCTAGAATTTAATTGTTTTGTACAGAAAAGCTTGGCAAATGTATAAAAGAGAGTACTTTTATTACTTTGGGAGAGATGCAATTGCAGTTACTGAGTAGAATATGCTACCATCGATAAAGATCACATTATATAATTACCAAATAGCTTCTAGTCTGTAATTTACTGTTGCACAAGGTCATACATTAGATAAGTGAAGTTAGTGACACTTAGCAGTAGTAATATAGAGTGAAAGAAACAAATGGTAGTACAATAGGGAAGAATTTACTCTAGCCGAATACATATACTGAAAGACTTCTAGAAAGAACAATCAGATAATCTAATGTCTCCTGCTTTTATACTCTTCATAGCCTTCGCAGCTAAAATCGGCATAGTAGCATTTCACCATATTTTACACATACTCAGCTTATTATTAGTCACAATATTTTCCAGCAAACCATCATCAATCCAGTATGAAAATGATTACAGTATTTTCATAGATATTATTCCTATCATCCAAAATACAATGAACTAAGCAAATCCTAATATATGGTTTACAATTCTATTTCTACCTTTAACCTTATTAGCAGCTCAAAATCTTACGGCATATAGTCATCTGCACTCTAGCATAGAGTCTATCCTTACAGTCTATAATTATGGACTACTAAATATATCATAAGATAAATATAAGAAAGACACTATTGTACATTATTCTAAACATGGCTAATAATCGACAATCACAATACTAAGTTACAGTAGCCTTGTCACGGTACAAACTACCATGAAGAAATAGCCATCTAAATTTGGTTAATATAATATAGCGATAATATATTACAACTAGTTACTTATAGTAGGAATTACTCTAATTATAAATGTGTTACAGTAAATTTAATGCTGTGCTGTAATGTGCTCTGAAATGATTCTGTGAATGGACATATTGTAGTCCGACTGTGAAAAATTAGTTAGTAGATGTTCTCACCTAAGTATTTTTATTAGATGACTCGTGAATATTAGCTGCTGTAAAAGGGTATATAAGCCCGTCAGATAGTTGAATAAAGCAGTTCTCAATGTCTAGTTGAGTTTAACGTAGAATCAAAGGCTTCTAAATTCTTGTGAGATAGTTAAGGGATACTGAATCCCGGAGACTATAGTAATTTAGAGATTTGTTTTACGTTATCCTTGTCACGAAGCTGGTTTGTGGCAAGCCTGTTAGCCATTATATGTCGCTGTTTGGAGAACTAATCCAAGTAAAAAAGGTCTCCTAAAATTTATTGAAATGCATACTGTTACGGAGCAAAGCATCGTTCTTGCTAATTAAATAGATTTTGTCAGTATTTAGCTAATGGATCATATTGGTAATCCTTAGTAGTTAAACGAATCTAACTTCTGTAATAAAGTGAAATTTGCAAGAAACTGTAGTTCTTGATTTATTGTTTTGAAGATCACTTTATCACACAAAATAATGAAAATAACTTCCAATAATTTGTTAAAATTTAACAAACGCCAAACTCAACATACTTTAAGTTAAGCCTCATAGCTGTAAAATAAGACTGGATGGGTTGCAATTTAAGTATTTTTATTAATCGCGTTTTTGTTTATATTTTTGTAAGACAGTGTAGTATTGTAGTCTAAGTTGATCATATATTTAGTAATGTATACCGTAGGTATTGTATTCAACATGTGATAGATATTCTCGTTAGTGGCTTAAGTATTAAATATAGCTAGCTTAGTTACTGTAATCCTTTTGAAGAGGAGCGCTACCGTGTCCACGCTAGAGCTTCACTTGATAGGTGTCAACTATCCTGTATTTGAGATGCTAATACTGAAAAGTGTAGTAAGTAAGGTGCTAAGACTGTAAACGCGGAAAAGTATATAAGCGAGTAGTTTAGTATAGTAAGATAGTTCTTTCTCGTTAGAGATCCTCAGCTAATCGATTACGTTGTATCTTCGCAAACGAGGTTTTGTTCAATAAATGTTAATTTTCTAAAGTTTTGAAGATTCTTGATCTATCAATCTTACAACTTTTTATGGTTTCCTAGCAAGTAGCGAAAAAGATTTACATTGATCTTACAGAATATCATACTATTACAACAGTTTTGACTTAGTACAACAAAGCCTTCATAGTTTCACAAAACCCTTTTGCAACAAAGTAACAACTTTATAATCTATAAATCATATCTCTGAATTAGATATCAAGCAAACAGTATTCTCTATATCCGGAATGCTAATCCAAAAGACAAGACTCAAAGGCCTTCTAAGTCTACATTAAATGCAAATTCTCAAGAACACTCCCATTATTGCAAGATAGACTACCGGTATACGACGATTTACATATTTTTTTAGAGTTGCTAAGGAGTTTTATTTAGTCCTATTAGTATGGCAGTCTTCGTATGAAGACAGTATCATTTACAAGTATTGATATTTAAAGACTAATATAAGAGAATTAGATTACATTATTTTCATATATGAAATATTCTTGAGTTAGCGTATAGTAATCTACCATAACTTTGTTACAATCACGATGACTCGAACTATCAGTAGTTTTATTTTTAGCTTCTTTATAATATTTATTAACAACAGTGCCACAATCTTACAACACATCAGTGCTATATTGAAGCTTGACATGTCTAAACTAGAAGCAGAATAAATAAGGTTAAGGTAATAAAATTGCTTTATATTACAAAAACTATTCTAACCTCTATATTGTGGTGTCGTAACACTTTAACGAATAGTTTGATTTCAGAGTTAATTATGACTATGGAAAATTACTAAAAATAAATGCGATTGTTTAGTTTATCGGAATAATAGCCTGTAAACAAGTTTCTTTGTAAGTTTGAAACTTTAAAGCATTAGAGAGGCTTCTATTTGAAGCAGTATCCAGTATCTCATAGTCTTAGTTTCGTATTAGACACTATTTGCTTTTATAAACTTGCTAGTGTTGACTTAAGTGATAATTTTAGTCTATACGCTTTCATCCTCGAAGTATCATTTGTAAATAAATTTTAATTTAATTGAATATCGCTCAGTTATATTCTACAACAATATACCTTTTATCTAAATATAGTTGTAAAAATTATTGTCTCCTTGGTCTTTAGTTTTCTTTTGACCCAAGTAATTGTAATAATTAATCACTGAAAAGCTGTACGTAAGGATCAATAGAAAATTCATAAGTATAAAAAGAAAAGCTGTAGCTATTGTACCCTTAGTTTATTTGTATCTATATTTTAGCGTGACTTATTCTATTTATTAATATTGATTGATATGCCAAAATTTTAAACCGTATCTATTTGTATTTCTGATGACCTGCAATCGTTCTAATCAAAGTATTGATAACATGAGCTGATATTAATTATCAGCTTGTCCTCTATTTTAATTAGTTAGACTTTTTGATTAAAAATAGATCAAATAGATTGATTACATGTATAGTTTAAATAATCTACATATTAATAATGCAACCTAAATCATGGAGGTAGTATCGCCTTATTGGTAACAGTCTTCAAATAATTAGTATCAGAGAAGTAAACTACCAAATAGGTATTCTTTCTATCCATCATGTGATACATTTTAAAATTTTATTGTTACGATCCGATAATAACGTCCCATTTATGTAATTTAAGTAAGAATGTATATGATCGTTCAATTGATACTGAACATAGATAAACGATGACTTAAATGTTGGCTACAATCTATAAACTATAATAATCGTATGATACAAATATAATGCTTATATTCTGCTACTACCAAAGATTATCGTCAACTTTCGCATTTACAGCTGAACAATTTTGCTCTTTGATAATTATATTTTAGGATAAATGATACAAGATTGGTAAAATCTCCGTTGGAATAATTATCAGTCCGACTTAAATTCAAATTCGTAAGTAATGTTATATCCTGGTTATTTAAAAGCAGTCTTAATAAACTAGATACCATACCAAGATATGTATCTAAATCACAAGTTTCTATAAAAATACTGGATTTCATCAATATAAATAGAATAGATCAGCAAATTTAAATTTGATCATTTAAAATTATCCTAACTGGCTGATAAAAAGCAGTATATTTGTATCAGTACATGATATTATCTCCAAAATAATCAAACAAGAACTACATTTTCATTGAAAATTCAATTTATTCGAAAGTTCGGTTCGCCTCATAACTACCAAGAACTATGTAGCTCAATGAATTAAATAGACGCTTCCACGATATAACGTACAAATTAAACTGTTCTATTGCAATCTTAAAATCTTGTCACAGTTATATTCAAAATTGCATTACACTGTACTATTTGTATTTGTTTCTCTTAAATTTTAAATCTTGAAGTATAAGCTGTTTCTGATATTGACTTGGTATAGTCAGTTCAGATTAGGCTAATGTAGCAAAGAAAAGCTGTAGTCAATTTATGTAACCGACATGAAATTTTATCGCTTAAAACTATTTTGTGTTTTACTACTACAATTTGCAAACCTGGTAATTTGAAAAACTTGTACGAATGAACATCAAAGTATGAAATGGCTCTTAAAATAATCATAGCTGGTGGTTTCGTATTATACCTTACTTTCAGTATAATGGGTAAGTCTAGGAATAATTTTGATGTTTTCGAGAATTGTAAAGAAATTAATCAAATATGTCAGGTTGAAGCAAAAATTTATTTTGTTGTTTGCGGAATTGTATCATAACCTTCATTTACGGTAAAGATTTCGTAAAAGAATCCTAGTGTAGGTACAATAATTCGGGCTAATTCTCTGGTAGTTTTCTGTCTCTATGCGAACGGTAAATGAGAACTCGGTTTCTCGGCTGTATCTCACAAACAACTGATTAATCGCTATACTTTTCTTCACATTACTGTATGACTTTTGCACGCTTCTTAAGGAATTATTGTTTTATTTTACAATCAAACGCGCTTAAATAGATTTCTACGGCGAATTACGGTGTTGACTGGCATGAATACATATTATACAAACTATATTAATAGATTTATACAATTACTAAATAGATACGAGTATGTAGATATTCTGGATCTTAGGGCGTTCAAACACTCCTTCTTCGTCCATGTACGCTTCAATTATATTGTTATAGCCTGGCATACCTTTGAATCTCTAGTAAATTAATCCGTAACAGTTTGTATTTTTATATCACAATTCTACTACTTTAGTATTAACTACAAGTCTAGCAAATTAAACAAACGCATGACCTTGTCTAGACTACTCAAAGATATTCATTATTCCGCTAATCAATAATCACTTGACCTGTAACGTAGTATCGTAACAGCTTGAAGTAGCGATACTGTGCTAAACCATATGAAATTAGATCGTGTTATAAACGGCGTGATGCCGATTTAAATTGAAACATTCCTTGAAAACAGGTCAATTATTTGGCTTGAGTTATGTTTAATTTTGGTCAGATCTACATTTATCATTAAATAGGGAGTAATAAATGTTTTTTTAAACGGCATGATGCTGGTTTAAGTTGAAAAATTTCCTTAAAATATCATTAGTCACTTGACTGGGGTTATATTTAATTATAGTCTGTTTTACATAATGCGAGTTTAGTCTTTCGCGTTTTGATTTGATTTAATTTAAGATAGAATTGTGACAATCTACAATGAATCTATCAGAATATTTTTATTGATAGTGAATCACAACCATTCACATTTATGAGTAATAAAAAATACAAAATAATATATAGCGTAATTAGTCGAATAGAGAAATTACTGATATTTTGTTATTGTAATATTTGCAAATATTATATTCTTAACGATCGAGGCCAATAAGTACCAGTAGCAGTAATAGAAACATTAATTCAATGTAAAAAAGGAGAATGTCCTTTAGACCTTAAGATAGATTACCGGCACTTGATGACAGTTGATAATAGATAGAGAAAAATAATAACTAGATAAAATAAAGTATTGGGTTTAAATGAAACATTGCGCGACTGATCAATATCAATTGAAAGCCATTAATGCTTTTAAGAAATTAATATCCATTTCAGGATCTATATCCATTGGAAGTTGCTAAAAAGTAAATTCCATAGCCGCATTCTATGGAAGAAATGCGGAATAGAATTATATGTGTTTGGAATGGAACAGCTGTAACGCTACTTTATATTTGGAAGATTTATTTTGTTAACAATCTTAACTAGGTGTTTTGATATCAGATGGACTAGCAATGTGATTCATATCTAATATTTATACAGCAAACTACTTTTATTAGTGATATCTTTATGGGCAAAATTACAATATATGATTGACGTGCAGTTTCTGGTTAACAGCATTACTTTAATTGTGAAGTTTCATTGCACATTAGTGATATGATGGACTTTTTACGATATTAAGCTTTAGGATTTTTCAATTTAAGAGCAACACGAAATTTATTAAGTATGTTGAACTTGTTATAATTTCTAGAGTCTGTAACACATTTGGTGACTAAAATACAGACACATACTTTCACTTTGGAAGTGTAATGTTTGAGATTAGGGCTTCGGTAACATGATTAATTCAAAACATTCCTGCCTTATGTTGTTCGCCATAAACTTATAGTTATTTCCTTGATTGATGTGATAGGATACTCGTTTAAGTATTATTGTTTCCTACTTATAAAAGTGCCAATATCAGTGATAAATTTTAATTCAGTTCTCAAGCTATAGTGGACTCTTTTAAAGTTGCCTAGTATATGCTTAAAACAGTAATAATACTGGTCAATATAGTTTATGATCTTATAAATTTTTTGACATTATATTCTACGTTAAACTGTCAAATTATACATCTTGGGTTGTAGACTATTAGCCATATTTAGTATGAGATACTGTGATGTTTCGGAAGGTTTAGAATAGATAAAGCGTGCAAGTTTGCAATGTAAGTAGCAGAACTAACTAACGAGATAGATGCAAGATTAGCGCTTTTATAATGTAAGAAGCCTAGCAGGAGGAAATTATTCATAAAACACGAACGACTATTAAAGATAGCTTAATTTTATAGTAGGTTAGTTCTACGATACAATCAAGCTAAAGTATAAGAGATTTTTTCACAGTATGAATAGTTAGACGTAGATGTAGATTACATAAATAAGGATTTACGTTGCAGTCTATGTGGAAAATTAACTTTATTAAGAATAGATTACATCATGCCGGTTTTTAGAAGTATACACTACAGCTACGATAGTGCGCTTTTTCTGCATTTATCCCAATGAAATGTAGTAACTGATACCCTTTGCATGTAATTAACGAATCAATATTGGAGTACGAATGATCATGTCTATCAGAATGTTGAGTCACTATTGAAGCTAGACACAAAATTAGTTATAAAACTTATATATAATTGGTGAGTCGTACTTTGTCTAATAAAATACTGCCTACATAAATGCTGTAGCTGCTATCATATAGAATTATATGTGGCACACCGTGAAATCTTATCGCTAATAACGATCCGAACATGTGCAAAATTAGATAGAATGTTGTTATACTTATTGCAGCTATGAATGTTAGGGAAAACATATAAACAACCGATTTTATATTATTCAGTATTTCTTTTTTAAAGTCTTTCCAGTAGTTGTATACAGATAAAGTAAAGCTATGTGCAGTTTATCTTTGCATAAAGATCAAATAGAGTTCTAATTTCTACGAATTTTAGAATTTTGTGTTTGGTTTTATCGCATATACTTTCAGTTGTCAAGTATACTAATGCTTTTGTGAACTAACTAGAACATTATTTATGCTGCTTTGATTAAATTTTGACTATAGACAGTAAAGATACAGCGATCATATCTTGGATCAGTTATTTAAATTAAGCTATAAATTTACATTTTTAGTCCTGTATTACTAATTGAATAAATCATTGCACTTTTGGATAAAAATTATTAGCGAAAGCAGCCGAAAGTACTGAAAAACCTAAAACAATCCATGTTGGTGGAATTAACTGGACTGTCTATGATAATTTTATCGAAAATCTTTGCAATGGGCAACCAATATCTGAATCTAAAAATGTGTAAGTTTGATTTATCATGATAATGATAACATAAAAGGCGAATATTATTTTGTGCTAGCTTAACCGGTTGTTGAAACTGCTATTGTAACATAAGCGACTAACGAATATTACCAGATCGATCACCAGGAAATTCCTCAATCATCTAATTGATTAAGCCAAGCACTGAAGTAGTTAACTAAGTCTATGAGCGTTTATAAACCCAGACAACTAAGTACTAGATCGTCTTTATAATTAGTATCCTATGTTTCACAAAAAACAGCCAACAGCGGTGTATGGTGACATATTTAACAATTTATATTCATTTCCCGCGTACAATTTATTAGATTAATGACCCTATTTCAGACACTGCTAAGCTTTAAGTATAAAGAAATTTCTACTAATTCTGCAGTTCTTAATAGATAGACACTTCATCTGCATATATAATTGGCATCATGAAATAGCTTATCGGCAACAACTCCCTAAGAGTACAAAAATATTTTATTAACTTTTTTATATTTGAAAAAACATTAGTGTTTATCCCCACATCAAAAGCTGTAGGCATTACTTAGTAGCTACAATTTGTTATCACCAAGTTTATAGTGCATGCCAATTACCTTCACCATATAAAGCTAGAGATACAAAAGACATGGGTAGCTAAATACCGTATTAGATGTACGTCTATGGCGGTTATCACTCTAGCCTGAGGTTTTAAACGCTTATTGTATAAATTAGTCTTTATGCTTCATACTTAGACACTTGACTTCAAGTTTAGGATTTAGTCGAGAAGGATAGGAATTTAATTGAATATTATCAAGTACTTTATTGAACAATGCTCAAAAAGATCATACTAAATTATGATAAGGTGTCTTCAAAGTCTTTAAACTGAAACTAAAGATACTGAAATTTAGTTTAGGATTTTATTTAGCTATTAATGAATCTAAATTACTCAAACCACAAATTGTAGGTTCACTAACGAAATTTTTCCCTTTTCGAATTATTTGAATGATTTGAAAGCTTCGAAAGGTTTAAATTCAACCATGAAGAATTTTACTTAATTTTTCACTTAGGATCTTCAGAAAATTACGGTATAAAACATTGAAAAGAATAATTAATTGCGGATCCATCTATAGAATGTATGTAAATTACTCTAATTCGTTGTGATAGTTCCATCTTTATCGCTGAAGCCAGCTTGATTATAATTTATTATCGGTCCGTTAGATACAATTAATCTATTTTAAAGGTGGAAATGACAGTAAAAAGTAGTGTAATGCTGCGTTCGACCAACTAAACCTAATAAACGTTAGTAAAGTATTTTTTAATTCTTAAAATAGGATCATTCAAGATGCTATGCTGACTGATATTGAACCAATGGCCTTTGAAATGTGTAAAAACCTCACATTTCTGTAAGAACTCGTTTATACTTTCTGCAATATTGGCCATGATGATTCATAGAAATGGTTACATTATATAAGTTCCATTATTATCAGCCTATAGAAATTTTAATATAATAAAATATAAAATAAATCAAAGGAATTTAGATAAAGCAACAGGAATTTGTGATAATTGAGATTTAACGCTACTGTCAGTTTAAGGCTTTTAAAGCGCCATCGTCTGCATGACTGATGAGATTAAATCTACTTTCTTAAATTTTTACTTTTACTAAACCAGCTAATTTACAAAGATATTGATAGTACTACGTATAATTTCTAATAACACAATATTTTTTATAGTTTCGTCAGTCTATGTAAATACTAAAATTACATCGTTTTCAAGAAAAGTATCTGTAGGAGTTATCAGTAGCAAATGTCGAGACATGAATTTGTTGCGGACTTTATCTCAAAGAGCTGAGCTCTTTTATTAGGGAAAACGGACTACGAAAATAAGATATAACTGATATTTAAAGTCTTACGTTCTTTATTTTATAACCTCATCATTAAGGCAATTCGAAAATAACAATGTCAAGTCTGAATTTATCAACCTTTTGGGTTATCATTCCTCTATAAAATCTCTGTAAGTTATTTCCAGATATCTTTTTGAGACAGTGTTATATACTGTATTAAAGTAGAAATGTCTATGTTAGAATAATTCTGTTAGCCTATCCTTATTTAGTTAACTTCTAATTTGGATATACTGTGTTTTAATATAGCACTGACTTTTTATGACACTTATACACATACTGAAATTGATAGTTATAATAGGGAATGCAAATCATCTACTTACAGTTCGAATTATTGTGATTGTAATTTACTTATGCTAGATTGTAAATTATCATGGAAATGTTCCGTGATAGGACATATCGTAATCTGACTATTCTGTATTAGTCATTACATGTCTATGGTCGTAAATACTGCTGTCTGCATTAAGGGAGCAGTAGCTAAAATTAATATCTAATTCAGTAAATGATTCTAATGTTAATTGTATTAACTATGACTCATGAAGTATTGAGGAATAGTATATAAATGCAGTATATCGTGTAATAAAGTGGATTCTGAAACTTAGTGTTAAACGTAAAATACGAGGCGTTTAAGTCTTGTGAAGTCTGCTAGTAGAGCAAAAGTGTTTGTGATAGTGCAGATATCGTTCCTTCATACGTGGTTCAAGGAATTGACTTATTGATCGTATATTACGTTATCTTGTTGCAAAGCTGTTTTTGTTACAGTTTTTTACAAAAAGAAATTTTCTAATAAATGTAGTTAATACAAAAATCTTAGCAGTCTTACTACATTATCTAGAAAAATTGGAATATATCAAAGCGATTTATTTTAAAGTTGTAATCAAGTAAATATGATTACAAAACAAATTTGAGACTGCTGTTTCGAAAGGAGTTTATTAAATACATATTCGCGAATTCATGGTAGTTGATTAATAATATCCTATCGATAGGTTAAGATTATTAAATTCTTGTAATATATTCTGTTTTAATTTAATCTTATATAGGATTTTCGTTCGGAATAAGCTGCCAAGTAATAATCTTACTAAAGCGTTTGGCTATCTGTCTTCATTACAACATCTGTAATACCAAATTAATTATCGACGAATTTTAGCTTACATAAATAAATTGATATGATTGAATTTAGATATTATTATTTACATAGAGGCATTAAAATATGCCTGTACTACCGTACTTATTGGAATCCATATGTATTGATTCAATAATTTTTGTCAATTTAGTCATATCTCCTATAATGTATTCAGAGAAAAAACTCTAGATATTAGCTTATTGCCGGACTGTGGGACATCAGAAATCGCGATGTTAGTAGAAGTCGTGTTTTAATAGTCATTATATTTATCGCTTGCCAGAAATTCATCACAGATGCCGCCCATTATTTTATGCATTAGCAATATTTCTGTTATATCACTTTGATATTCAAAAAATTTCGGGTTTTCTCCTTCCAGAGACCTACATAACAGTGATATAATGATAATTGGCAGAAATCTATTTAAGAAAAAGCATAGCGTCATGCGTCTGTAATTACAAATGAAATTCATAACTCCATTACATTACTCTAAAGATTGCAAAATTTTTCATTTCATAATTGGTAAATCTCTGAGAATTGATAAATATCTGTCAATATTTTAAAAATGGAACGATTTACTTTTGGTTATAGGAATTTAAATCATAATCGGATAAGAAGTCTTCTTTATCAGACCTTCATTGGTCTATCATCATTAAAAGTTTTGTAGGTTTATTCTTTCAATCCCTCTGCATACGTATTCTAAAGCTAGTGTTACTAATTCTCTTCTCTTATTATACATAATTATAGAAATATGACTGGAAATCGGATCAAGTATATATTTAAAAACGCCTTCCTTCCTCTGCAGAATCTCAATGTCCTGTAAGACAACCGAGGCAGAATTTACTCATTCTATTTATTATACAAAAAGTCATATTAAGAGATAATTCAGTGTTTGAATGATATCAATTGTAGTATATACCTTTAAACTGTTCTTAAATTTGCATTACTTGTTCGAGATTAAATCATAACAAATTGAAAGTATCAGATCTTTGTGAAGATTTTACTATGCATGTAATATGTGTTACATTCATGAATTATTAAAATTACCTTAGTATCAATTCCTCTATGTACTTATATAAAGATGCCTCTGCTTTTAACTATTATTATTACCTGAAGATTATAATGGAAATATATTTGGTACATTTCTGTAGTAAATTATGAAATAGTTAGACGTGCAGTATTCAGAAGCTGATGAAGAGACGCTTTGAGTAATAAATTTACTATTCTTAATTAATATTATAGGCCATAATTGATAACCTACCAACTGTATTCATGTTACATAAAGTTAAGAACTTAACGTAGTAGCTATTAGTCTACCTCAATGGTATAACTGTTGAGAAATGAAAATTATAATAGCACTTCCTCCTGCCTATTTGTATACTGCGATATGGCATTTAAAGGACTAGTAAATTATTAATAGCCGCTTTGGATTTGTTAATCAGCTTTCATAATTACAAATATTACCATTTTCATGATCATCCATAATCTCATCCAACTCCAGTACTATTACCATATTATGATACTGCTTAGTAGAGATGTTAGAGCAGTTTTATCGGCTTAATCTTCTCTAGTCAGTTTCTGATTTAAACATATTATGTATTTATTTGGATATAATACAATCCAACTATCTTGTATTAGTTACTGAGATATCTATGTTTATGAGTAGTGTTGTCTTCGTTAGGTTATGGCATTTAAGATCATGATCTAATTAATACATGGTTCAAGACATAACTTAAAAGATTGCTTATTATGTTACTTTGTTACAAATTGATTTCTTGACAATTAATGATTACGTATGGTTAAAAATGTTAATTTACGCTTTGGTTAAAGTATGGCTGAGATAGTGACTTAATAATTCTAAAATTGACCAATATAACATTAACTATTCGTAGCGTAAAAGAAATAGATTAAAATAAATGCAAGTGATTTTACTTATTGAAATTCATAATAATAATTGTTATATTTATTCTAATTTAATTCATGCTTTACTTATAGAAATCTAGAGAGCAATGAGATAGTGTCGATATCTCGTGAAATATTTGCTGGATTGCCTATGCTAACTTACCTGTTAGTATCCATATAAGTAACTTTCTTTTACAGAGTAACTTTTGTGTAGCAACCATAGCACACTTCCAAATCATATGGTAACTTATCTAGGAAATATAAATTAGCTACTAATTGAATAGAATTTGAGTACATGATTTGATATAAGAGAGAAGTTTAGTTTGCTACAATCTGCTGACGAAGAGGGAATCGTTAAGTATTTAGAGTTATTCTGGAGGTAGATAGCGTAGACGACAGACCTGATTGCGGCTCGTAGTGCTCAATTACTAGTTCTGATTAAATTTTTTCGATGCAAACTGAGATTTGTTATGCTTATAGGGCGTTGATTTTTGGTGAGAGGCAACTCTTCAATTTAGACAGTTAGATAAATAAAGGATCTTGAATATTAATTTAATAATTTGAAATCAATTTATAGCAACATTGGATCCAATAATATTAATAGTATCAGCAGTATTGCTTTTGCCACGGATTTTAACCTGAAAACACTGTAAGTTGGTGTTAGAAGATTTACAATAAAATTAAACAAAATTTTTCTAAAAAGTTAAGGCTTATACGTACAATTATAGGATAGACTATACATAGATTGATGGTTTTCGATTTAAAGGAATCAATTTGATCATTGAAAGGCAGTAATTAGAACCTTTTTCGTGGCCTATAAAAATAATATTGTTTCATTTCTGAAATATTCCAGTGTAATGTCTTACAACAATTTTACAAGCATTAGCTTCGGACTTCTTGAAAATTTAGCTACGATGACAGATCTGTAAGAACATATCATATTATACGATGTAACAATTGATAGCTATTTCAAATTTTAATTTAAATCCTACTAATGTCGTGATAAAAAAATTTAATTCATATTCTATATTTGTAATCCATTGCAATAAAAACTGATAGTAGATGTTTCGATTTCATTTTTAGTAATTATGATAGCAATAACTTGGATTCAATATATCCAGAAGATTTATCTTATTTGCGTAGCGTCCAAAAAATGTAAATAAATGTTACTAGCATAATCATAAATCAGCTATACAGCATGAAAAAGTATTTTATTTTGTACACAAGTACAATATTGTATACCGATGATAAATAATTTATAAATTGAAGAACTTGCAGAGTGTATAAATCGTTAAATTTAATTTATTCGCGTTTGCCATAGTATAACCGTAAGCTGATATTTTTTTATTAAATTAGTTCTTTAGCCGAGAATAGATTAGCACTTCTATTTCACAATACCTTTCATGATCTTAACAATTTGGAAGAAATGTAAGTAAACCCTCAAGTTAGTTTAAAGTTGACAAAATATAATATAAGAAAACTCTTATCATTCATAGAATTACGAATTACATATAAATTTTGATTGCAAATTTAATAAAGTTTAGCCTTATATTTTAAAAATGTATGAATTAGGTATTGAGCTATTGAACGATTAATTTCTTTTTTATTATCATAATTATGATTTTTCGATATGTATATATATATATATATACAATATTAGATACTTACAAAACAATGAAATTGAGGTGATCGAGGATGGAGCATTTCATAATTTGCAGAAATTATCGATATTGTAAGCAATTTCTAGGGATCGTTCTATTTTAAACGCTCTTATGGTATTACATAGAAACTGAAATTTTAATGATGATGAAGTTGCCTTTGTATGAAATTCTTATTCCATACAGTGATTGTTACAAATTGAAACTTGTAACGAGGAATAGTTAAAGTATTTTAGAAATTATACTAGGAGTCTACTGTCAGGTCTGTCTTCCCTGACCGTAACCTGCAGTACGACTCTAAATACTAACGAACTCCTATCAAATATCATTTTTACGTTATAATGTAAATCAGTTTTAGTAGAATTAAAAAAATCGAATGACAATTCTTCAAAATCATAAGCTAGCTATTTCATACTAAGAAGGGATTCATACAAGTCTGATAACCGAGTTCTGAATTTTGTTTAAGTATAATGTGCTGTCTAGCATACGTTCCCCTTCATTTTAACGGGTAATTGATCAGTAGTCATAATTATTCGTGACGCACATCTCTCTATTACAAACTTGACGTAGGAATAAGTAAAGCGCTTCATTCTTTTCTAATTTTGCACATGGCGAATTTTCTAATCTTAAGGAAATTTATCCTTTTTTAAATGATCTGACATCTGACTGGCTGTGTATTGTAATAGTTTACGTACTATTGCGTGTATATTAACATTTGAAATAATGCGCTAGAAATGTTCCCTGATAGATCATGCTCGGCATGTGAATAAATTTCTAATCTCGGCACAGAATACAGGCGACGAATAATACTGAAAAAGTTCGCAATAATGTATTAGAACATATAACACATCTGTAGTTACTAAGCGAGTCAGTTGGCGCTTATAGACGGCTGCTAAAGTATGAATTGTTGCCTAGTCTGTAAATAAATCCGCATGTAAACTATAAGATTTTATTGAAATTTAATTGATATATCATTGTAAATTAATGGCAATTTACTGAATCTTAGTTAGCATGTTTCCTTACTCGAATTGTTCCCGTTTACGTGTATAGAGACCGACTTCTTCGTAAACAACTCTAGTCCATTGACTGTCCTTTACTAAGATATTATTTTTCAACTACAATATTCCTAACATAGCTGTTCCATTAGTAAATATTTTTACTTTTAATCAACTGCTCATATTTGTTCTTAATCTTAATTTACGAAAAGTTATGCTCATTTTAACTATTTTGAACTAGAAATTACTAATCGTTTTATTTTCTACGGATAGCAATCACCTTTACCAAATATATTACAACCAGCTATAATAATAATTGCAATAATGCATTAAACATCATAGCTAACAATGCAGTTTTAGATTTCACTATTTTGCAATAACTTAAAAGATATTTAAATATTGAGGTAACACCGTACCATAAATGCAGAAGTATTTTTTATTGATAAATGAATTCATGTAAAATATTCTTTCATGAATTAGCTTAAGCAGGCTGATTAATTTGAATCATGAATAGGATCTACGAAATCGAGACATACTCTTCGTAGGATGTTATTTTCTGTATCTAATAGCATATGATACCGTACAGTATTCTAACATAACAGCTATTTCTAACTCTATATTCTCTACCGAAGTGTACAGTACATAAACAATAGACTTATTTTTCGACAATAATATGCATTACTAACGGACCAATTGCCAAATTATAATGTTCAGTTGTAAAGATCTAATGATTACGATAACACGAAAATATTATTACACAGTAATTATATTTGTAATTCTATTAATGTCTGAATTACTAGCTTATTACTTAATATTGGTAACATATGAAAACTGTTTGGTATTTATATTTTAAAAAAGCAATTGTTGATTAGGATAGATCGATTGAACGTACAATATTAATAAAATTGATCTCTTTCATATTAGGAAATTAAGTCGCAATATCATTGCTGAGATCAGTTTACCGTTTTGGTCTTTGCCTAACTTGCGAAAGCTGTAAGTCTAATAATCATAATAAGTGCCCATCCTAAATTCTGGCAATTATACTACAGAAAAAATTAGGTTTAAGCTTTGCAATTTGCTAAGCTAAGAAATTGTCATAATTAATACATACAGTTCGTTTTTCGGTTATTCCTTAAATAGCTATAACTTGAGAGTATTCCCCTTTAAAATAGTTCTATAAATTTTATAGATTAATGTCCTCTAATACGGCTTTGCTTGGAGAATTATTATTTGCGATGTTAATTAGAGTTCTAACTGCTAAATTTGGTAACTTTGACTCAGTTCATTCATAATTTCTTAGTCCATGATTCTGCCATCTACTAGAAATATCTTCTAATAACTAATCAATAAGACAGCAATACAGTAATAAAGTAGAGAAAAACTACAAAATAAAACCTTAGAACAGACCGATATACCATTTGAGTTCTTACTTAATGATATAAAACAGTGTTAGTGTCTGATTAAGGGAATTGCTGGTACTCCGAGTATTAGAGCTAATATATGGATTAGACATGTCCAACTAGGTTTACTCTAGAAACTTAGGTATTTAATTTGTTTGATTCTTATAATTAAAGAATTGTAAATAAGTCGTAGAGCGACGAAGTATGAAATTTATATATAGTTTATAGAAACTAGCTTTTTTAAGCTGTATTTCCCTCGTGCAAAGAAAAGAGCTTGCCAAATATTAATTGTTATTCTTTTATCATTGCTAATCTATGTATTTCGGCAGGTTTTTGGATCAAAATGCAATTATTTATAGTGACATTGTCAACGGTACTTTTCAGAATCTTACTGGTTTGGAACTATTGTAAGACCTAGTTAAAATTATATAAATAGCTTTTTAATTGCTTATGTTTTATTGCTTGCTTACAATTGTTTTATAAAAATCAATCTAAAGTTCAACTAAATTTAGAATATCAAAGCTAAATTTTACGTTATAAAACCACAAAGCATATCAGCAAGGAAACGCAAAATATTGCTATACCAGAATTGGTAGAATTTCTTTTAAATTTATTCATCATCATTAGTTTTATGTGGATTATCGCCAAATGCTATAACAGAGAGTCGGTGTTAAGCGTCTTTATGGTTTTATCAGTCAGCCAATCAGCTTATACGAAAAATTTAAGCTTGAAAAGATATGTAAAATTATTACTTTCCTGAACAGTTTTGCCTAGGATAAAATCCTGCATTTATTATGTTTAGAGATTAATCAAGTTTAAAATAGTATTTTAGATTATGGTACATTCTTTACCTATAAATATGAAATTTGGTTTATCAGGCTTCATTCTAACGAGCCTGATGACTGAAGAGTAATCTATATTACACGTGAGAAGAATTAAAAATATTTATAAGATTTTTCGACTGTAAAGCATTTACGAAAGGACATTAATTTCTTCGTTTTTCTTACAGATATCTTGCTACAATTACTGTACTATTGCAACATTACTAGTCTTTTTAGGCTGATTCTTGCTTTACAAATTTTTTTCGGTGTTTTCGATATTCAATTGAGAATATGAGATCTAAAGTAGTATCTAGTTTAAATCAAACGATAAATGCACATACTGCTTGCATTTATATTCTCATTATTAAGATAAAAGCTAGTAAACTGATCCACACTGTGATGGAGGGTTCGATATCTCAGAGGATTGAGATTTAGTCGCCATTTAAAATTATTACAACAAAGGGTTTATAAAAGTTATGCTTTATTGTAGGTTAGTAATGTGAAGTACAGTGAGGTAGTTACGGTAGACCAGCGTGCAAGCTGTCGTGAGTAACGAGTAGAAGTATTAGGCTGTGAGAGACTAACTAGAAGACTAACTGAGAGGCTAATGAACTCTGAGGTAGAAATCGCCAGTATTTATAGTTTTAAAGATAGAGCACATGCAGAGAATAGGATTGTGGAATTAGATACAACATTGTCACAAACTTATGTTGCGAACTACTACACTAAACTAATAGATTACTTATGCCTTGCTCCACTACACCTGGAGATCTACTGTATGGTAGTTCTTTACTACTTTCGGTCACACAGGGATAAGACTGTTCTAAAAGATTAGTATAGTTTTTATTAGTAGAGTAGCCGAGTACCTTCTCGTACACGATCTAATAAGGAACTCAGGAACTGAGCATTCGCTCATCCTTTTATACCATTCCACTAAATTTATGGTGCACACATAGTAACTTGACAATATAAGATTTACATGATTTGTATACGCGATAATCGCACGATAAATGCATGATAATCGCGCGTACGTGGCGGGTGCTAACGTATCGCCATTATTAATATCTACTGTATATAGGCTCTACTAATTAATTGCAAATACAAATTTGCCTTTTGTCGTCTAGCAATCTAGACATTAATATTCTTAATTTCAATTACGCTTACCAATATGATCCATTAGCTAAATACTGACAAAATCTATTTAATTAGCAAGTACGGTGCTTTGCTCCGTAACAAACATATACCATAACAGGTTACAAAATAGCAGATGATTGTAGAAAACAGCGAGTACCGTAATAACTAAATACAGTAGTCTATATATGAATGTAGAGTAAGCGGACTCTAGATCTGTCTAAATATAAAAGCAATACAACATGTCTATATTTAAGGGTAGAATATAGTTACAGTATATTCTAAATACACTACACACACGATCACTTCAATTTAACTCTTGAGAGAAGTATAGACCTAAAGCCTTCTATAGTATGTTAATGACGAAGAATTGCGATACCCGATAGTCAATTTTACAAAGGTACAATTTTAAATTATAATGTTAAGTAAGATCTGTCATGCATCGCAATATTGAAGAAAAATTACCGTGTTTTCAAATTTAAATATTACTTGAATTGCAACAGAAAGTGAAATAGTTACCTAAATTGATCTATTTCGAAATAAGGCATCATATTCTTTGCAGAGATTTAAGAGGAAATTATATCTCCACGCTGGGCAATCGGAGCTTTCAGGGACTAGGAAATTTAAAATATTTGTAAGTGCATTAAAAAACATACAGCTTACTGTATCTTATTTATTATAGCAAAATCAGACCTAGTATTCTACCAATAGGTTTAAGTTTAGAAAACTTGCATACATATTGGATCAATAACAATAATTGAACGATCAAAATATTAATTTTCTTAACTGTCTCATGGCTTATAAAAAATTACAATTATTTATCTGTATGGTTTCAACCTAAAATATTGGAAGGCGTCTCGCTGATAACATCATAATGACGATCGAGCCGGGAACATTTCAAGATTTGTCCAGCTTAGTATTTCTGTAAGGCTATTACAAATATGTTTATTATCATCTTGAATATAAACTGTGTCACAAAATTATCCTATGCAAGCTTTTAACACTCAAAGATTTCATTTTTAGGCTATTTCAAATGCAATTATAGTGAATATGCAATAATTTAAATTTTATATAATAAAATGTTGATAATATTAAAGTTTATGAAATCTTAACTAACGCTGTAATTTTGTTATTTAATATTATACTTAATTTTGTAGTGGACTTAAGCAAAATTTTATAGCGGAAGTGACTGATCAAAGCATAACAGGATTAAGCAATTTGCAACATTTGTTAGTAAAATGCGTTTAGGTTTTATATGCTATATCTAGTAGAAAATAAATATTTTGATTGCATGAAGCGAGTACTGTTATAAAATAATGTTAAAATGCTGCACGAATATGTGCAACTAGATAGACACAAATACTTTACGGTATCCTGGAATTTTATTATTACACTAATGTTTCAGTTCGAACTATTATGAAAGTAAACTATTTTTAATGTATCAGATAACAGGAATACTGATTTATTTAAAGAAAAAGTTAACAATAGGGTTCAATATTTGTCAAAATTTCTTAATCTGATAATAGTAATAACAGTTAGCGGTTTTGGCTCTTAGCTTAATTTATCTCAATTTTTGTAGACTAATTATAAAATATAGAATATAATTGACGTATTACAAATATGATTTAGAGATTTAGCCTCTAATTCAGTATCATACGTGGCTTTGACCAGCTATAATGGCCCGGCGAAATTACAAACTTTGTATGTCATACAATATGAAATGTTAAATAATGATTTGTTTAAATCTGGCTTAAAGAATCTATGACTGAACAAATTTGGAAATTCTAGTTTCTTACGCCTTAATGTTTTAGAAATAATGACATAATTCCTATATTATTCCTCAAGTTTATGTTGCAATAACTATGGTTTTAAAACGTTGATATCGGACTTTATTATGTTACAAAGGAAGCGTACAATTTTACAATGATTATATTTAATATTATTGAGAAATTCAGCGGCTGATATCATCATTTATTAATTCAGAAACTTGCGAAGTATGAACTTGTACAGCTTGGAAAATTTGAATGTTGATACTCTTTCCCAAGTAAAGGAAATGTAAGCATTCTGGTAGAAAAAATCATATAATCCATGATTCCTCATAAAGTTTACATTTACAAAAAAGAATTAAGGAATTAGAAATGTTGAAGATTTAACTCGGTTTATTCAGTGATTTATATAGGAATAAAATAAGGAGACTGGAATGGTCATCTACTTTTGAATATATTGATATCGAAAAACTGTATGCAGCTCTAGCATAATTCCACTAATTTTAAGCAAACAAAACATTCCATCTTAATTAAATTAACCTTCTTTCTTAATATTTTAATACCATTTTTAATAATGTATTCTGTGATTTTAAACAACAATTTAGAAATTTTTTGTGGTTGTTATCACAAACTTATGTTGCGAACTACTACACTAAATTATTAGATTACTTATGCTTTGCTCCACTACACCTGGAGTTCTACTGTACGGTAGCTCTATACTACTTACGGTCTATCACAAACCAGCTTCGCGACAAGGATAAAGTAAAACAAATCTCTAAATTACTATAGTCTCCGGGATTCAGTATCCCTTAACTACCTCACAACAATTTAGACGCCTTTGATTCTACGTTAAACTCAACTGGACAATTGAGAACTACTTTATTCAATTATCTGACGGCATTACAGCACTGCATTTAATTTACTGTAACACATTTATAATTAGAGTAATTCGTATTGTAAGTAACTAGTTGTAATATATTATCACTATATTATATTAACCAAATTTAGATAGCTATTTCTTCACGGTAGTTCGTACCGTGAAGACGGTCACACAGGGATAAGACTGTTCTACAAGATTAGTATAGTTTTTATTAATAGAGCAGCCGAGTACCTTCTCGTATTTGATCTAATAAAGAACTCAGGAACTGAGCATTCGCTCGTCCTTTTATACCCTTCCACTAAATTTGTGGTGTACACATAGTAACTTGACAATATAAGATTTACATGATTTGTATGGGAGGACAAGCCTCAATAAACTATATAGTTTACTATATATATACAAGTACGTAAACAACTTTAATTAGCAATAACTAATTAATAGCCAATTAGACCCTTAAGGCTCAGCACGATAATCGCACGTTCGCAGCGGGTGCTAACGTGCCGTCATTATTAATATCTATATAGGCTCTACTAATTAATTGCAAAATGCATTTATGCCTTTGTTGTCTAGCAATCTAGACATTATTAATATTCTTAACTTCAATTATCAATTACCAATATGATCCATTAGCTAAATACTAACAAAATCTATTTAATTAGCAAGTACGGTGCTTTGCTCCGTAACAGCTGTTTAATTACGACTGTACCTAGTAGTTTTTAATGTTGTCTTGATTTTAATTGAATGTCATTAAAAGGAATTTGGAGTTTAATGGTCTAATTGAAATCAAAAGTATAAACAGAATCAGTTCTCTTCAATTCCTGTGAGTGTTCAGTACTGTACTGCGTAAAAAATTAATACGTGTCATTGGATCGTTTTCATAGAAATGAATTTCTTTCTGTATTAAATAAAACATTCAAGTGTGACCGTTTTGGATAATTTTGATTTTACATAGCTTTATTTTATAATAATTAGCAATTTATCCTATAATCAAATACGCTCATTCTCAGCAGTTTCCCTTATGAATTTAACCTCTCTTTCGGTGTTGTAAGTATCATTAAACAGATCAAATTCGATTTTTCCACGATGTTCTAGCATATGTTATAGTTTAAACATTTTTGTGATTATAATGGCATGCATGTATGGCAATACTTTAAAAAGAAATTTTAATTACCAAAACAAGGTCTTTAAGACATAATCTTATAAAGAAAGTTATGAAGACAGATGTGAAAAACACCATAAATCTTAATAAGATTAAGAAACTGTAAGTGTTTTGATATTGTTTTATAATGTGATGGATATTGGAAATAGATGCAATTTTATGGAAGTTGATAGTCGTCCTCTGATTATATCATTATATGACATACCAATTATCGCGACTGCTTTCAATTATAACAACATACTACGACTACTCTTGCGACACAGGAAATATTACAATACTGATAGTAAATATCGCTTTAATCGACAAATTACTTCCCTAGCCTGCGATACAGTTGCTGTAGTCTTTACGAAGTACGCATGCTTACGTGCGATATAATATAGCGTAACTCTGTTCGCATTTTATTGATTCTATTTATATACTCTATTAGTCGTTTTATGCATGTTTTTTGGGCTATCAGCATATTTTCAATAACAATAATGTTATTACGATTAAGTAATCGTATACGGATATTTAAAGTAATAAACAATTTCATATATAATTTTATCACGATTACGAGTTCTATCTAGTTTTTATATTCCAAATACCTTCTGGAAACATTTATTGTTCCGTCATAATATCATAAGGGTTTACTTTATCACCAGCAACAACAATTCCTGAAGTAGTGCTGTATATTTCTAAGAAGTTTAAAACAAAATATTGTCGTAAACTATATATCTATATAACGCTAAGTTATTTTCATGACTGTGACAAAACGGTATCGTCAGCATAAGTTAGTGCGAAGAGTCCATTAGAGTATTGGTTTTATTAACATTAGTCGTATTTCGTTAGCAATTTTCCCTTAGTGAAGTATTAGCTTTAAGTTACCTTCATTAATTGAAATCGTTTTCAAAAATGAGGAATAAACATAAGATTTGCCTTTTATACATTAAATTTTAAATTTTCGTTGATAGACCGTATTTAAAGTACAATTCTGAAAAGCAGTCAGCTTGTTATGCATAGATTTTCTTTATATGTTTTATGCCATGGCTCTCTTTAACTACTTTGAAATTTCATAATTAATAATCATAGAAGACTAAATATTCTACGTTTTGCAATTTTAGTGATATTTCGAGTAATCGTTTACATCAAATTGAAGATGGGTCATTTATAAATGCTAAGAATTTAAAAACCCTGTAAGAAATAATTTTGACAGCGGAAGGCCTTTTAAAAATTAGTAGCAATTATTTTAATACTTTACGACCATCGGTTGTTCAAATATAAACCTTTAAAATGCAAGCCTTCTAATTGAAATTATTGCGAGTCCTATCTTTCTTTTTATTTTCTATAGCTATATAAATGATAATGATATAAGAAATATAGCATTTACAAAAGATATTTGGAGTTTAGAAAATCTGTAAGTATTCTTAAATGGACACCTTTCGAGGAGTGTAAGAAACTTGCAATTTGGATAGTTAGCTAATTGCTTATCTAATCCTAGTATAATTCAAAGCAAAAGGGATTTTCGATATTTTAAGTAGAAATCCTTGAATTTCAATTATTATGAGCTAAATTTAAACACTTTTAGGTTTACTAGTACTTCTGATTTTGGAAGCGCACTAGTATACGCTACTTCCGTATTAATCATTCGCAGAAATTGTACGTAAGACTGCAGATTATTTGACTGGGTAATTTAGCCTTTATTCTAATATATCATTTAGATATGCATCCAGCAATAAATTAGAAGAATTATCAGGAGTGGTATTTTCAAGTCTCGTACATTTGAAAGTTCTGTAAGTTTTCAATTGCAGCCGATGCTGTATTACCACATAATGATGTTATATTTATGATCCAACCAATATCAATTAATACCATCGTAAATTCGTAATCATTCGTCAATATTCTTTCGCTAATACATGTGTAATATGCAAATCGGAGGATATAATATATTTTAAATGCGATCTTTTAATGATAACTAATAGCAACTCTAAATCTTCAGTTATAGTATCATCGCGTTCCCATAAATAAAGGGTTGATGCAAGATCTTTAGCAAATTTGATAAATGTATTAAATGGCTCACATGTTAGTCAAGAGGATATTAGTGAGATGATATTTTGCTAATGTAACAATTAATAGCTGATACGGTATAATTAGATATGCTAAATAATTTAATTGACCAATAATATAATGCTTAAGAAAGAGTTAATAACTATAAAACATTTTCTGTTATCTTGCAATAGTGATCTATCCACTAACAACTTCAAAACAATTGATTCTGAAGCCTTAACTTCTCTAAAAAGCCTAGAAGAATTGTAAGACAAAACTCTTTAATTCATTTTCTTTCCGTTTTGTCACTATACGTATAAATTTTATGATATGGTATTGTAATTATGTGATGTAACTGATCACGAATATCCAAAATTTGTAGAAGATTAGACTTTATAAGATCTTACACAAATACAATGTACATACAGATCTACTGTAGCCGAATATATCTATTAAATACTTCTAGAAAGAACTACTAGAACAATCTTAGTTGCCAGCTTATATGCTTTTTGTAGCATTCGCAGCTACAATCAGCCGAGCAACATCCTACCTTATTTTATACATAATCAAATTATTATTAGTAATAACATTTTACAGTGGACCATCACTAATCCAATTCTAATCCAATATTCTATTACAATATTTACTACATATTATTTCTACCAGTTAGAGTAAGATAATTTAATCCTATTCTAATATATGAATTACAATCTATGTTTACTTCTAACCTTAATAGTAACTAGACATTCTACCGTATTTAGTCATCTACACTCTAGCATAGAATCTTCCACTACAGTCCATGGTCATTAGCTATTAAATAAATCTTAAGATAAATATATGAAGTCAAGCTTCTGTAAATCATACTTAACGTGAATAATAGTCTACAATCCTATGTCACAAACCAGCTTCGTGACAAGGATAACGTTAAACAAACCTCTAAAATTACTATAGTCTCCGGGATTCAGTATCCCTTAACCACCTCACAAGAATTTAGACGCCTTTGATTCTACATTAAACTCAACTAGACAATTCAGAACTGCTTTATTCAACTATCTGACGGGCTTATATACCCTTCTACAGCAGCTAACATTTACGAGTCATCTTATAAAAATACTTACGTGAGAACATCTACTAAATAATTTTTCACAGTCGGACTACAATATGTCCATTCACAGAATCATTTCAGAGCACATTGCAGCATAGCATTAAATTTACTGTAACACATTTATAATTAGAGTAATTCCTACTGTAAGTAACTAGTTGTAATATATTATCACTATATTATATTAACCAAATTTAGATGGCTATTTCTTCACGGTAGTTCGTACCGTGACATCCTAATACTATGTTACGTCACAAATTGTTATACTAAACTAAATGACAATCAAGTTATTAAGTTTATTAATTTAATTGCCAATGGCAAGACTACTACCACAGTATTGTATAGATAATTACACAACAAAGATATTCTGCGTACAACCATTGAACTAGATTCAAGAATCGGCTTCCTTGGACAATATATATAAATAAATGTCTAAAAGCTTTATTAGCCAAAAGAATTATTTTTACACTATTTATAGCTTCAATGATACACACATTATCTCTACCCTTAAAAAATCGAAATTAATTCCAAATATCTTAATGTCAATATAAAAACTTAATTTTGCTAGTGACTGAGCATCTTGACATCAAAACCACTTCTAGGACTCTTCTTAAATATAAATAAGTAGTCTATATGTAAAATTTCAGGAAATAAATAGCTGAGAAAAATAGAAATTTTTAAATCGATCTGATTATGAGAATCTTACAACTGAGTAATGGTTTAATTTTTTTATTATTTCCCTAATCAGATATTTGGAAGATATAGGATTGAAGAGTCTATCTAGAATTAATTTTGCGGAACTTAATCTATTGAAAAAGCTGTAAGTTATGAATGCATAGAATCTGTAAGATAAATTTACAGCTGATAAATAATTTTAGTAAAAAAACTAAAGGGTATTTTGTTTTGCACATCATAGTATAGTACCGTGATGCGTTGTGCAAACAGTATGATACTCAAAATCTTAAGAATCAATTTTTCGTTTTTCATCAATTATTATGTTAGCTTGTAATAGGTTAATTTTGGCCTCTCATGGTACATTATATTTACTTAAATTAACACGACCAACTTTCACGCAAATAGATCTGTATCTAATTAATTAATTGATTACAATATTTTGTTTTAGTTATTATTTTGACATAATAGCAGCGGCTGCATATATCGCAAAGAGTTTTAAAGCCATTACCCTAAGCTTCGTATTTTCTTAAATCATGTTTCCACAACTACCCTTGCAGCACAAGAAATATTACAATACTGATAGTAAATATGCAGTAATCGACAAAATTATTTCCCTAGCCTGCGATACAGTTACTGTAGTCTTTATGAAGTATGCACGCTTACGTGCGATACAATATAGCGTAACTCTCTTTGCATTTTCTGGACTCTACTTATATACTCTATTAGTCGTATTAAACATGTTTTGGGGGCTATCAGCATATTTTCAATAACAATAATGTTATTACGATTAAGTAATCTTATACGGACATTTGAAGTAATAAACAATTTCCTACATAATTTTATCACGATTACGAGTTCTATCTAGTTTTTATATTCCAAATACCTTCTGGAAACATTTATTATTCATTCATAATAAACTAGATAACGCAATGTACGATCTATACGTCAATTCCTAGAACCACCTATCAAGGAACGATATCTGCACTATCAGAAACGCTTTTGCTCTACTAGCGGACTACGCAAAGATTTAGACGCCTCGTATTTTACGTTAAATACTAAGTTAAAGAATTAATTTTATTACACGATATATTACGTTTATATACTCTTCCTCAATAGTTCGTGAGTCATAGTTAGTAAGATCAATTTTGGAAACATTCACTGAATTAGAAATTAATTTTAGCTACTGCTCCCTAATACAGACAACAGTGATCACGAATATAAACATCTGATGACTAATACAGAATATTCAGATTACGATATGTCCTAGCACGAGATATTTCCACGATAATTTACAATCTACTATGAATAAGTTGCAATCGCAATGATTCGAACTGTAATAGAAGTCGACTAAAAAGGGTAGGCTAACAAATTTATCCTAACATAGATATTTCTACTCTAATACAGTATATAACACTGTCACAGACCGTAAAATATTTACTATATACGTCAGATGTAGAAAACTTTGGCTACATTTAACAACAGTATTCCATCGTAGTGAAACTCGTACCTCTTATTGTGCTCAAAGAATGGGTAAAAGCTAGAATGGAACGGACTTTTTAGGTGTTGTACATTCAATTTAATTGTCAGTAATATAGCAAGCACCAGCTAACAAATATTTCTGTAATAGCAAATCAACAGTTCTAGGATAACAAAGCTTGCTCTATATCTAGATATACTGATTTTATTACTTGGAGATTATAAACAGCAGTTTTAAAATTGTTCGGTATTGCTTAGATTATGAGGTTTGCTGCCGGCGTATTATTGAAAAAAATTTAAGGTTACATATTTTTGTATGAGACAAAAATATTGTGTCACCATAATAAAGATGCGACTTTTACGTATATAATTATTTTTTATGAATTAAAAATAATTTTTTCTAAGTCTGTTTCTTGAGAATGTGTTAACAGCAATAATTAAAACTATATGTTTATCTTATCTAGCCAATGTGCCTTGACTACATTTTTAAAAATCAATACTCACCTATCTAAAGTAAGACTAACCTTGTTCATCATAATAATAGTATTCTTGGAAATAATGATATCGAAGCCATTTTTCAACATCAGTTTAGCGGCTTAAATGATCTTCAAGTTCTGTAAGTAATCGATATCAAAGAACAATTTTAATTCTGTTGCTTATATTTTATAACTAATTTAAATGATGTTCTTGCTTAAAATTTTTGTCTATGGTATTACGACTATAAATTTTAGCTTGCTTTAATTTATCCTGAACTCATCCTTGTTTGTAGCGATTTGTCCAAAAATTTAATAATTAAGGTGCCTGATGACACTTTGCAAAACATGATAAGTCTACAGACACTGTAAGTAATGTTAATTTAAATTAATATTTTATTGTATTTAAAATTAAAATTGATGAGATTGTAGATTTCGGTTAACAATACAAAAGTCGTTAAACTAGATTATTTTATAAAATTCTCTAAACTTTAAAACCAATTTTTTCAGTTATTTGAATGAAAACAAGTTATCTGAATTTGACGCTCACATCATCTGCTCAAATCGTGATATATATCACTTGTAGGTCGTATATCATAGCCAAATTTTTTTGGGTTGATTTTATTCTTATATGTTTGTTTTTGACACACGTATCATGTACCTGAATTATCTTTTAAAAATGCCACTAGATTACAATATCATAATCTTAATCAGTTAAATTTCTCGACCTATGAAGAATTGAATATTATGATATATTTTCTTGAATCATTTGTTTTATTCATTAAAGTAACGAAGGGATTACTTCCAAAGGCAGTTGTGCCTGTTTATAAGTATGAGCCTTCTAGCAGTTTGAACTCCTTCATTTTAGTTTTCTTTGCAAGTAACTTCATTAAATAACATTAATTAATAAATTAATAATTGAGGATCCTCAAATCTAATTCCGTGAAGCTGCGATAACGGCGATTAAAACACAAACGAATAAGGAATATTACAGTATTAATCTTGTTCCATCAATCCAGTCGACATAAAAATTTGTTTGACGTACATAAATCACTATGCCACATTTTTGGTATATAAAAAATTAGTCGGGAAAATCGTATAGAGTCACTGCTAGACATATTTTAAGTCTCATAAAGGCTGTTAGCGGCCTGAGTAGTAGTAAAAATTTATTTGTATGAGTTAATAACAGTCCAAAATAGCAGCAAAATGGAGTGTCATTTCGGAATCTAATACATTTAATTTGTAATTAAGTTCAAGTTACTTAAGATAAACTAATAGGTTTCGGTGAGTTTCTCAATCATAACGTGATAACTTATCTGAAACGTTCAAACAAGACTTTTCTTAGACTCGGTCAAAACTAACTAATTACTAAACAGTACAAAAATTATTACGTAATGAGAATACAGATCTTCACTACACAACTTTCACGATAAGATCGAGAAGAATATCATTCAGCAAATATATGGCAAAGACATAACCGTTAAGAATAATAACACTGCGCTGCTATCTAAGCAGAATAGAATATGCTCTTAAAATGCTACTAATATTAGAAAGAATCTAGCTATCGATCTTCTTATTATACAAGTGCCTAGATGTTTTAAGTACTTTACTCGAAAATAAACAGAATTTCAATTTTAACTTCGTGACTAACCACTAGGCTATAGTTACATATTATCGCAAGATTACGTAATACACCACCCAAACGCCCTTTCTACTTATTAGGTATCACACAGTACTGAATAGAAAGCGTTAAATACTAAGACTTATGAATAACTAGAAGGAATAATTACTGCATATGAGTAAATCCAAATGCAGATTGAAGATCCTAAATTAAGATTTTTATTTATTAATTCATGTCTTGCCTAAATGCTATATTAAGATGTCAGATTGTTTCAAACTAAGCAAATTTTTTATAACAATCAACAATTCAGGAGTTTACAATCAAATCAAATTAGAAAGGTTATAGACAGACGATGTCTCGGAGGCTACACTAATTTACGAAAGTTGTAAGTTCCACAATTAAACAGCTCAAATAAATTCTTGTTTTACTCGGCCGTGAAAAATTTTAATTTTAAAATTCAAAATATTATGCGTAATTTCTAATTTTATACTGTGATTTACTGTATGGCACGTTTACATAGTTGGATATAAGAAGTAGCTTTTTCTTCTGTTCGAATAGAAATATGAATAACAATCTACTTGACGACACTTTTGATCAAAGCTTGAAAAGTGCTGACCTATTTCAATATCTAGACGATCTGTAAGGAAGAATCTTACAAATTTTGACGTACTATCTTAAATATTAGCAATTTAGTATTGAAAGGTACATTATCTGTAAGTTAAGTGCTGTATCCGAATTTATCCTCCGCTGTTTAGAACTAAACTACTAGTATGTAGAACTAAATCCGCAACTTCATTTATGTAGTACGGACAGTTAATCAGAAATATTGTAAATTTTTAGCTCTTGATCAGAAATGGGTGTTAGTAGAAATAGTGTACAGGTATAAATTTTTAATATTTATTGTTGCTTAATATTGTTAGAAGACTTAACATGGCCTAGAAATTTCATTATTTGTAATAGATTAACCTTTAAGCTGCATTTGCCAAATAGGATAAGAAATGATTTACGGTTTTACATAATACTGTGTTACCTTTTTTCTGAAGTTGGTTACTAAGTTTATGATTTTTACATTGTTTAGAAATTTAGGCCGTAACAAAATTACTCACTTTCCAAAACATTTGATATCAATTTCCAGAAAAAATTTGCGGACATTGTAAGAAAATTCTTTTTATCTTAATATTATTTTTGATAATCGTAGAAAATTATTGGCCGCAATAGAGGGAAATAAAACTTAACAAATGAGATATCGCAACTTATGTCGTAGGAATATCGGGTACAACAAAATAGCAAGTAGAATTGTTGTGAAAATTTTACAGAGCTTTCAACCATTTAATGACAAATTATGTGGAGAAACGAGTTCAATAGGTTGCAGACCATATTCCATGTAAGTTTTAAATCGTGTAACATACCTAATGAAGGTAACTTTTAATTTCATTTTAGTTTCAGCTTTTAACCAAATATTTAGCTTGTGAAGCATTCAGAATATATGATAAAATCTCAGTAAGACGTAGCTAATAAATCATTGGATAAATGTTGATGCTGTCGAAGTCTACTTAAGGAGCTTTTCTGTAGGAAACTGTGATATATACCAACCATGAATTTCCAAATTTTAGAAAAATAAGGGCTTTATTGAATCTTATACAAAGATTAACTACACACAGCTTTACTCTAGCCGAATACTACTACTAAAGACTTCTAGAACGAACTAACTGAATAATCTAAAGTTGTATGCTGTATACTTTCCGTAACATTCGCAGCTACAATCCGCATGGCAACCTTTTACCTTATTTTACACATAGTTAAATTATTATTAGTAAGATTATTCTACTGCGGACCATCATTAATCCAATATGGATACGACTACAGTACTTATGTAGACATCATTCACAACAGCCAAAGTACAATGAATTAACCATATCCTAATATATGATTTACAGTTTCTATTTTTACCTATAGCCTCATTAGTAACTCAACACCTTACTATATATAGTCATCTGTACTCTAGCATAGAGTCTTCTATACCACTACAGTCTATAGTTATAGCTACCAATTATCTCTTAGGATGAATATCTACCGTACATTATACTAAACATGGCTGATAGTCTACAATCACAATACTAGTTACATTGCAGAAACGCTGCTCAATTAAATTTAGGGTCTTAAATTCAGTGTTTAGTCCAAATCGTAACATCAGGGTAGACTAGTAATGTGTAAGCTAGATAAGTATGACATAAGTACGCATTCACTGCAACATTAAGTATGCTTAGAGTATGGTATTGAGGAGTTTGGTTAGGCTTGTCTATAATAATCAACTCTTAGTAGTCTCCCATTAAGTGAGACATTTTAAATGTGCAGCGTATAGCAATAAATAATTCAGTTCTCAATTCTTATTGCTGACTTAGAAAGATGATAATCAAAAAAAGTCATTAGCTATTTCTTATTTATTTTATCGACTATCCGGAATACGTGAGAGCGAATTTTTGAAAATCATCTCGAATGATCATAAGAAATATGTTCACAAGATAGATTTTCAAACTCTTAATTAGCTTTACAAGATATTATCTTGAATATTTCAACTTGTCAGACATTTCTACCACCATAAAATCTTCTCACTAATTTTCGAGAGTAAAATCTTCAAGTATGCGAATGAAATTTAATTGCTAAAAGTTATAGATGCTAAAATTTTCTTCATACGCTTTTGTAGTGATATTTCAGGAAGCAATTTAAAGATTCTATCCAGAGGAAGCTTTGCACATATTCAGAATAATTTGGTTGCATTGTAAATATAAACTAATATGTAACATACTACACTCTTAAAAATTTAATTATTATAACTGATTTAAATAGAGTATACGATGTGTCAGAAAGAGATTGTTAAAATATTCTTTTATTTAAGCTGAAATCAGATAAATATCAAAAGATTTTTCCTGATATAATTCTGTAACTATGGCGCTCTAGGTATTTAAACGACAATAACTTAACAAGAATAGATGTTTATGATTTGTTTAATGTTACCAATGATAAGCTGCAGGAATTGTAAGTTAAAAGATGATAATACTTAAATTTCCTTTCTTAACTTTTATAGCAAAATTTATTTTTATAGCTTAATTACCTATATCGTGAATATGCAATATTCGGACCTATTAGAGTTGCTAAAAATCAATTTTAAAGTAATCATTAAAACTATACTGCAGGCATTTAGCAAATAATGAACTAACAACAATTTCAACGAAAAGGAAATATAAGTTACAAGCCCTGATAGTCTTGTAAGTTTAGAAACTATTGATTTTAAATTAATTGAGATGTTGAAATCACTTTCTCTATACAGTTGCTATTTTAAGAGATATTAATTGAAATTCAATTAAAAATAGTTTTAGAATTTTATTGTAAATATTGAAAACTGTATAGTAAAAAATTTGTAACTTGTAATTTAATTTCCTAGAAATCTAAGAGGAAACAAAATCACCACCGTTTGTGGAAATCGTACTACATTGGATCTTTCTACTCCTAATGTTGAAGTGCTGTAAGTTCATAGTCGATAATCCAAGTGAATCACTTCTTATTTTCATCATATTTGCTTTTAAATAGAATTCTAGTAGCATATCGGTTTGACTCGGTATGGAATATGATTACGCCACTTGCTGTATCATTATGAGAATATTATTTCGAATAGCTACTTACACTTCTACTGGATCTGTTGTGATTTCTAATACTTAATTCATTTTTAAATTTTATCAAGAAGGATTGAATATGGTAGTTGATCAATGTATTTTTTAACATAGAAGTATAGTATATGGCAGGTATCTTTTAATGATTTATTAAGGAAAATGATGATTCCTTTAATGATATTGCAGGCAATTAGATAACAATTTTATAAGAAATTTGGAAAAGGGTTGCCTTTACAATTTTTTGAAACTGAAAGTTTTGTAAGTGATCTAAGATCGTAAGTTTTAATTAGATGATTGCTATAGCGCCTATAACTGTAAAACAATTAAGATAATTCCTTGATTCATCTCTTGTTTTACTAAAATCCAAAATCGGCACCTGTTACTCAATAAATGTGGAATTAATATAGTTTACACAAAATTTAAGAAAATTGCAAAAAGGGCAGCTTAGACTGCCTGAAATAATCAAACTAACAAAAGGATTTATAGGAATTACTAGCAACGCAAGCATTTCTACTTTTGTTCTAGCTTCTTCTATCACTAGACTTCTTAAATTCCACTAACTTCTCAACTACTTTACTGTCGATCTATTATAAGAATCGAATTTTACTTGCTATGCAGAGCAGTTGGTAGTATCAAATTAAAGAATTGTCACTTTTAAGTATTCCGAAATAACTGATAATTAAATAATCTGTAAAGAAAGATCTTACCTTAGATTATTAATCACTGGTAAATTAATAATTTAAGTGAAGTTTAAAATTGCACTATACGTAGATGATAAGGTTTCGTAACTATTACTGCAAGTAATAATCAAAATCAGTAATCAGCTAAGCATTTTCTATATGAACTAAATATCTTAGATAAATTACACTTTACATTACTGTTACAGTGTTAAATACTGTATTACAGTAGAAATAACTATGTTAGGATAATTCTGTTAGACTATCCTTATTTAGTTAACTTCTAATTTGGATATACTGTATTTTAATATAGCACTGACTTTTTATGACAGTGACACTTATACACATACTGAAACTAATAGTTATAATAGGGAATGCAAATCATCTGCTTACAGTTCGAATCATTGTGATTGCAATTTACTTATGGTAGACTGTAAATTATCATGGAAATGTTCCGTGATAGGACATATCGTAATCTGACTATTCTGTATTAGTCATTACATGTCTATGTTCGTAAATACTGTTGTCTGCATTAAGGGAGCAGTAGCTAAAATTAATATCTAATTCAGTAAATGATTCTAATGTTAATTGTATTAACTATGACTTATGAACTATTGAGGAGTAGTATATAAATGCAGTATATCGTGAAATAAAGAATTTCTCCAACTTAGTGTTTAAAGTAAAATACGAGGCGTTTAAGTCTTTCTGTAGTCTGCTAGTAGAGCAAAAGTGTTTGTGATAGTGCAGATATCGTTCCTTGATACGTGGTTCAAGGAATTGACTTATTGATCGTATACTGCGTTATCTTGTTGCAAAGCTGTTTTGTGACAATTACACATTATTACTACAAATAGTTATAGCTATTTTCTATCGATAAATTATAGACCAGATAAAGCAGTTGTATTTGCAGCATACTCATTTACTATGAAAAATTTTCTGTAAAAATCAAGCTAAATTAGGGGTGCTACAATTTATACACTGCGATAAGGAAACGTGAAGAAAAAGTCTATAAGTAACTAATGACTTAAACGCTCTTTTACTAAACGTTAAATGCACACAGCAAAGTACTGTAAAAATCGAACTTTCATTAGCATAGATACATCTACAACTTTTCGTACTCACTGCTCAGTCCAAAATGTTTCCGTTTATATAAGGACCTTCTAACTTGTAAACAACAACAGTATTATTGTTATATTTTACTGGGAAAGACATCTCGAACCGAGATGGTCTTTACATAGTTATTCTATTAGCAACAATTTTTAATCTATTACAAATACTTAATCTTGATTTAAGTATGTTTGTTGTCTAGTTCTAATATCATAAGCTAGAACTTGAATCATCTTACTAATATCTACACACAATAACAAACAATATCAAATATGCAATAAACTATCACAAATAAAGTGCACTTTAAAGCATTACTTATCTTACCTAGTACTACAAATACGGATATTTTCCATATTAACTGCTACTGTACTATTAAACTATCCCAACGATAAGGTAATACCGTAATAAGGGGTTGCACTACAATACTTGCAAGCTATGATAAATATTACTGAAATAATAATTAAAAAATTAACCTAGATTACGTATAGCAGTGAATTTTATGCTAATGTCGGTCTTATCGCTTCACACTCTAGATCAATAACTGGCAATCCATTAGTTAATATACAAAAAGAATCCTTTTATTCTCTTCCTAATCTCAAACAAATGTAAGATTTTAAGTTTTTACATAGCAAATTTTCAAATTTACTGCGGCAACGTAGGGATTCCAATTTACATATACTAAGTCGGTTTAGCTTACTTAGAGCTAATAAATCGAGAAATTTCATACGACAATTTTAAAGCAATCTCTAAATTAGTAAGTCGAACAGTTATCAATGGTCTGAAATCTTGATTTAATCCGTTCATAATTTAGATTTTCATCAAGGGAATATTTATGCTGCATAGCTCCTGCAAGTATTACTCTTTGCACTCCATATATTGCACAAGATGCTTTTACAACGTGCTCTAATATATTATCACACTTATCGCTCAAGTTGTTTGTTTGGATAATAGGGATTTTAGCCCTATTCGGTAATTTAACAGTTCTCTACATCAATTTATATAAGATAAAACAAAGAACGGAACCAGTTCCAATGTTACTTATTACAAATTTAGCGGTATCTGATTTAATGATGGCTGGTTATATGCTAATTATTGGAAGTGCAGATCTGACGTATCACGATATATACGCTTTTAATGCAGAAGTCTGGTTAAGAAGTTTTACTTGCGTACTTGCTTGTTTTCTTTGCTGTACTGCAAGTTTAATGTCAGTTCTGATGATGATCACCATTAGTTTTGATCGCTATATTTATATCGCATTTCCATATTCCGCTAAAAGATTATCACCACAACATGCTAAGGTTATTATTTTGATACAGTGGATGATATGCTTCGTCTTCGTGGGCTTACCGGTTGCGTACAGTTACAAAGCTGATGGTGATTTAAGAATTTATGAATATACAAGTATCTGCATGGCTAGTAATTTTAGAAACTTTCATTTTCGTGTATGGATTATTGGATACCTTACTATCACATTAATTTGTTGGCTAACTACATGTCTAATGTACTCCCATATGTTTATAGCGATTCATAATACGTCGAGGGCCGCTACATCTCGAGCACACGATGGTGGTAAACGAATTGCTATGAGACTATTTGCTATCGTTATAACGGACTTGATTTCTTGGGTGCCTTATTATGCGTATATGATCCAAGTAATGATCGATCCTACCGATAGTGGTAGCGTAGTTTTACAATTTGCGATTATAGTAGCCCTACCGATTAATTCAGCTATCAATCCATACTTGTATACAATGAGTAGTCCAACATTTCTGCAGTCAGTTAGACATCACGTCAGATCCTGTAGCTGTAAGAGCAAAATGACTGTGGGTCAAGGTAATTCTTCACCGTTAAAAAATGACAATGTAATCAATTTGGATAGAAGAAGTACTTCTTGGGTTGATAGTAGGGTCGTTGGTACCGCATCACCATCTGTGGTGCATATAGTGCAAAGTGATTTAAGTAAGAAATTATATGCTTCGACATCTCAAACTAACACAAGAAGCGAGACAGAAGATGTGATGTAACTGATTACGTAAATGATAGTATATCTATAAGGTGTATAAATAAATTGAGAAATTAATTATATATAAAATACTAAAGATAACGACAAGCTACGAGGTACCCTAAATTTGCTAATCTGATCAAATTACGGTACTGAATTTGAATTATTCTAAACTGTCAGTACAACCTTGGTCTGATCGAAAGTATCCTTTTAATTAATGCAAATTTAAAAATTCGCAGACTGCCAGACTATATTTGGTTTAGTTTATGAATATTGCACGCAACTTTGCATCAATAAGGAAAAGTTATATGTCGTTTGTGGTAGGCACGAAGAAACATACGTAGTAATAGTACCTTCTATTCAGCCTATGTGCCAGGCGTTCCGTAGTGAAAGATGTAACTGATAGTTGTATAAGGTGTTGTGTTCAAGTAAAGCTGTTAATGTAATCTGCAATATTAAATAGTTATTTATTTACGAATTTAAATCTTTAATATTATGAAGTAGTGTTATGTTTTACATGAATGCAGTAACATGCCTCATATTTTATTATGGCGTTGATGGCTAAATTTGATGTAGTTTGGTTAATAAAAAGAGATCTTATCGCATCACTAATATTAGAAAAATATTTATAATTAATATTATTCACTGTTGATTATCAATAGCAGCTAATTATCTAAGAACGGTACCCAATTAGGCAAATTGATACATTATAATGCAGGATTCCGAATATGTCACTATCTTCGATATTAGCAGCAGGGTAATCATATGGTCAACGGACAGATTCATAGAATCTATTGTTTTATTTTCTATTATATGATGCTAGCCTGCTTGTAGGAGACTTCGTTGACGTAAATTGAACGAGCTTAATGTATTTAACAACCACCAGTAGAATCTGGTAATTTACTTCCAGCTCAGGATGTCCAATATTAGATTTTCGACACTTGTTAATTATTGCTCAGTTATTCTTAATTTCTGCAATAATAGTACGTATTTTTAAATTCTATCTTCACCAAGACTATTAATTTATGAAAATTAGTTCCCAGATTGGATGTAATAGCTTAGATAAATTTTTTGCAGTCTAATAACTCTTAAACAAGGTTTTCGTAAAGAAGTGATTTATATGAATATCTATATTATATAATAAGTTTGTGTTCGTACAATTTATATAAGTTTGTATCAAAGTGTTGCCCTAGAAAATCTAGAGATAAGTCCATCATTCGGCTTACCATAGTCTTTTTATACATTTGTAAAGGGGAAAATAGAAGAACAAACCTCTGATGGTCGGATGTATATTTAAACATTACTTTTAAAGCTACTTTTCAGTTTTGCTCACAATTTTACCGCCTTAGATATCTAGCCTATGTTATCAAGTCAGATTTTGAATTGGATAATACTAAATTTTAGTAAAACTACTCTCACGCAGCATGGCCGTAATTTCATTAAATATTCATACAGTTTGCTTTAGGTATTAGTGATTTCGTAAATAACTATAATAATCTGTAATGAGTAATCCTACTGCAATCATTTTAGAAAATGGATAGAGGGCCTTATAGATTTGTAAATTTATTAATCCTTTTACAATGCCACATTTATTTATACTGATGCGTTTCCATTAGTTTATAAAAATTCGAATTTCGAAGATTTCCAGTAACTCCGATGAATTAATGCATATTAAGGTGTAATACTGTCTTAGACTACTGTAGGGCAAGCTCACAGAAAGAATAGATTAATAGCTTTATTTGAATGTATTAAATAGCCTCACGTAAGTTACGATAAGTCAATTTTGCAATAATATGACTACAAAAATTAGGTAATAAACAAATCATGGAAGAAGAAATGAAATGATCGAGCTGTAAATAAGACTTTGATATAAATTGTAATATATGTAGGTTTACACTAGGTAAGAAGACTAAAGTAAGAGTTTATCGAGAAGAAAGTCAGAATTGCATTGAAAGGTTTATAGTAAAAGCAATGGATTATGACCGATTCTGATGTGAAATTCAATTCCTATTTTAAATATAATAAATAGATAACGAATAGTATAAAAAAATACCAATCATTTACTAGGAGTCTCTCGTATTTAGAAACAAGATTACGAAAGTACCAGTATACAAGGTTAGAATTTTATTATTGACACAATTTAGCAATATTCTTCTGTATTGTAATGTAACTTAGTATTGTGATTGTAGACTGTTAGCCATGTTTAGTATAATGTACGGTAGCGTAACTTCTATATTTATCTTAAGAGATATTTGGTAGCCATAACTATAGACTGTAGCGGTATGGACTCTATACTAGAGTACAGATGACTATATACAGTAAGGTGTTGAGTTATCAATAAGGTTATAGGTAAAAATAGAACCGTATGTCATCTATTAGGATTTGGTTAATTCACTATACTTTGGCTGATGTGAATAATGTCTACTTAAGCACTGTAGTCGTATCCGTATCGGGTTAATGATGGTCCGCAGTAGCATAGTTTTATTAATAAAATTGATTTAACCATGTGTAAAATAAGGTAAAAGGTTGCCATGTGGATTGTAGCTGCGAATGCTACGAAAGTATAAAAGCATGCCTTTTAGATTATTCTATTAATTCGTTCTAAAAGTCTTTAGTAGTAGTATTCGGCTAGAATAGAGCTATGTTACGGAGCCATGCTCCGAAATATTAATTGCTAAGTTAATTAAAATATCTCATTTAAATTATTGTTTGCTCCAGTAGCTTATTAGATATTAATGTTTATTCATAAGTACTTGTTCAATATTGTTGACATGTCGGAGCTAACACGCTTAGTCTGTAAACGTTAATTAATAACACCTTAAGTGTAAGATCAATTACTTTGCAGAGCCTTGAGGCTCTAGTTGCTATACTAGGATATGTATACTGTACAGTGTAAGCCGCTATTTCAAGAATATTCACAAGTGTACCATCGGCGAGACTATAAAAAGCGGAGCGCTAGCTTAGCTTCTCAGTTCTAGTTAGTCATTTGCAGGATCTTGTGACTATTATTGCTAAGAATATTCTTACGTTTTTCTTTAGTACATTTTACGACTATGGCTAACGAAAATAAAGTAAAGTATTTAAACCTATTACTCAATAGTAGTTTTTTTGTGTAGCTGAGAGTTAGTTCAACTACGATAGGTCCCTAAGTTAGTTGGGAACACAAGTACTAGTGAAGATAGTGTTTAAGACCCGGTTTCTTGTTACAAAGAAGAAGATTTGTAACAAGCTGTGTGTAGTTAATCTTTGTATAAGAATCAATAAAGCCCTTATTTTTCTAAAATTTGGAATTTCGTGATCGGTATACATCACATGCATAAATCGCGAACAATATAGCTTTATATTAATTTAAAATTATGTAAATAAAGCAGGTTAGAATATATCGTCAAATCAGAAGGTAACAATGCATGTAAGTGCCATAAATAGAACTTCCCTTAACACTATTGTATTTTATAGATTTCTTAATTTACGTTTACTTAAATCTTCTAATAAATAGCAGTGCGAGGGATTTACTGCAATTTATAAATCACTTAGCAAAATCGGTACTTTAACTAGATTAGTATTTGCTATTATTAGACTATTGGCAGATGCATATAAATGCTCATATTATTAAAATACTACCGCATTTATTCAAGAATCCGTCATTTTACAAAATCACTAGGCATTTTGTAAAATAACCAGATTAATTATTACTAGCCTAACACACTGCTCGTAATAGGTACTTCACATACGAGTTAACTGGGTATAGTAAAGTGTTCAAGTATATTCAATAATGCCGTACTTTATTTATGTTATAATCCTCACCAGTACTGAACATTGTTGTATGTAGCAAGAAAGAAGACGATTAAATCTTAATTCGAAATGATTGAATTAGATATGAATCCAACTTAAATTAAGATTAAATAAACTTTAAAAAGAAAATTTTAACATACATCACTTATAAAAACTGTCACGTAATCTAATTTTTAGTCGCGCATATTTTGCATGAAACATTTATTTGTTAGGAAATAATTCTTAATAAAAGATTAAATGTTCGAATTCAAATTTCAATATAAAATATCTGGTGCTTTTTATAAAGTTAATTGTTAAGTGAAAGTAATTGTTGTCGAGATTCAATGATAATAATTTATTTCTCATGTAAGACTAAGTACCTTTTTCTGTAATATCGTATTTATTATTTAATCAGCACCTGCCATTAGATATTTTAAGGCCATTGTAAATACTTTGAAAAATTTAATGTACTTCCTATTTTGAACAATCTAACATGAAAAAAAATTAAAATTTTCGGTCGTTACTCAGATATATGGCAGCTGTGACAGTTTGAAAACGTAATGATAATGGAACTGTTGGGAATCAATAGCAACTTTTTTAAATTGTGATAATAAATGATATTTCCTTTTTATATCGCTATATAATAAAAATATTGTGTTTATATTTCTAATAGAAATTTGCTATTGATCGAATATTGATGTTATTACGGCTTAGAGCCACTATCACTAGGTTGCTTTAGATATTGTTATTTGAATATTTCTCAAAGGTTCTGAAATTAAATTTTTTTTTAATTTTTTGGATTAAGTTTAGATAGGAAACTTTTTAATGCAATATCATTAGCTATGATAAAAAATTACGTGATGTTACAAAAATTGTAACTGTGATTAATCTCTGTCTTTCAAATAAAAACTCCTTCCTATAGTGCAAAAGATTTCATAACCCTTATTTTTTCATTTGCTGTGTCACAAAAGAGTTTTGGAA